CGGGTCCTGGTCTGGGACCTGGTCCAGGACCTGGTCTGGGACCTGGTCTGGGACTGGTGCGGGACCTGGTCTGGGACCTGGTGCATCCCAGACTGGCTCTGGTTCCCTTAGTCCAACACCTGGTTTATGGCTCCTCTCAGCCCTCTGGACCAGGACCTGAAGGTCACCTCCTCCCAGAACCAGGTCCAGGTCCAGAACCAGGTCCAGAACCAGGTCCAGGACCAGAACCAGCTCCAGGACCAGGTCCAGAACCAGGTCCAGGTCCAGGACAGAACCAGAACCAGGTCCAGGTCCAGGTCCAGAACCAGGTCCATGTCCAGAACCAGGTCCAGGACAGAACCAGGTCCAGGTCCAGGTCAAAACCAGGTCCAGAACCAGGTCCAGAACAAGGACCAGGTCCAGGTCCAGGACCAGGTCCAGGTTCAGAACCAGGTCCAGAACCAGGTCCAGGTCCAGGTCAGAACCAGGTCCAGAACCAGGTCCAGGTCAGAGCCAGGTCCAGAACCAGGTCCAGGACCAGGTCCAGGTCCAGGTCCAGAACCAGGTCCAGGACCAGGTCCAGGGTTAGGGAGCTGCCCAGTGAGGAGTTTCGGTCTTTGGCCCAAAGCGTCCCGGACGCTGTGACTACAGCTCCCAAATCACTTATTAAAAGTAAAGAAATGGAGGAATGGCAAAAAATATGGAATGAAGATAAAAAAGAAAGAAGATTATATGAAGTATTTAATAAGGAGGAAAAATAGTGATAAATGTGAGAGATGTGGAGAAAAAGAAAATGTAGAACATATACTGATGAACTGTAAATCATATGAACTCGAAAGGGAAGAATTAAAGAGAATAGTTAGAAGTATAGGGCATGCATGGAATCTTATATTATGAATGGTATATTAGGAAATGAAGGAAACATAACAGATATTCATAAATTAAGGAAAGCGTTGTTTATCTACTTTAAGAATACAAAATTAATAAATAGAATCTAATAGATGTGAAGTAACGCTGCTACACACTCATGTACAGTAGGTGGCAGTATGCACCTTAAAGTGGCTTGTGATCCGCCATAATAGAAAAGAAGAAGAAGAAAAAGACTACAGCTCCCAGAATGCTCTGCGCGGCCGGAAGCAACACAGCCTCGGTGACAGATGAAGCGGATCGGTTTTGGGGGATTATTGAGCCACTCCTGATCGATTATTGATTGAGACCCCACCGCCAGGTGTCCGGAAGTCAGGTACACGCGCTGCATGCACGCGCTGTGACGTCACGACTTCCGCTGCCGCCCAGGGAGAAAAAACGGTCAGAACGGTTTGTGTTAGCATGCTAACGTAGAGCTACAAACACCAGATATAACCACAGACACACACACACACACACACAGACACACACCAGATACACACACATCACAGACACACACCAGACTAACAGCAGATACACACCAGATACACACACTAGATACACACCACAGACACACAACCAGATACACTACAGACACACACACCAGACACACACTACCAGATACACTACAGAGACACACCAGATACACACCAGATACACATAGACACACACACACTACAGACACACACCGGACTAACACCAGATACAGACTACAGACACACACCAGACACACACCAGATACACACTACAGACACACACCAGATACACACTACAGACACACACACACACCAGATCCACACTACAGACACACACCAGATACACACCACAGACACACACCAGACACACACCAGATACACACTACAGACACACATCAGATACACACTACAGACACACACCAGATACACACCAGATACACACTACAGACACACACCAGATACACACTACAGACACACACACACACCAGATACACACCAGATCCACACTACAGACACACACCAGATACACACTACAGACACACACCAGATACACACCAGATACACACTACAGACACACACCAGATACACACTACAGACACACACCAGACTAACAGCAGATACACACCAGATACACACACCAGACTAACACAGACACAAACACACACCAGATACACACTACAGACATACACCAGATACACACTACA